TTATTTTTTAAGGAAAAATAGAGAAGTAGCTTGTGAATAGCTCAAACTAAGCTTACAGAACCGCATGTAAAAAAGCAAAAAAAAGTTATTTGTGTCTGTTTATATTGCTTCCTTTTTTGTAGCCTTTGTACCTGTACAGGGTGACTGTAAGGGCCAAGCAGGAGAGGCGTAATCCTTGTATAAAATAGGAGCCAGCGACACTCTTGTATTTATCTGTTCTCTTTTTAGTCAGTCACTTCAAAAAAAAAAGAAAAAAAAGAAAAAAAAACAAACAAAAAAAAGCTGTACATTTTAACATAAAATAAATTATGATGAGCCATTTTTAGCCTCTTGTGTCCTGTCATATTATGATTGATAGAGAATGACCAATGGAACTGTATCATGTGTCACATCTCAGAACACATACACATTTTGGGAAAATAAATTATTTAGTGTAAATTGGAGTTATGAGATTTTTCTGATTTGTTTTGACTTTGGGGGAGGGGGTTGGCAATAAATAAGAGTAATATCTAATAAAAACCATCACATATACCAAATACCTATTTAATAAATTAATTTATAATGGATTTTAATGCTTTTCATGAAAGTTTATTTTATGCTGGTGCATACCTTCTGTATGCCAATCATTGTCTTTAAAATAAAGTGAATTTGTTTTTTTCTTTTTGACTTGGATCTTCATTTGCAAAGGGATCCTGCACAAATGTCCATTTGCCTCATTTGTACAGTCTGTTATAAACACCCCTCAGCGCCTTAGCACAGTGATAGCCAACTTCATTTTTATAAAAGTTAATACCCAAAAAAGCACCCAATCCGGGATTGTGTATTTGAGAAATAATTTTCTCAAAAAAGGTGTGAAAGTTTTGCTCTGTTGTGAATGAGTTGATTGGATGTTTTCTTTAGAGTCTAAAGTTCATACCCCCCCCCAAAAAAAAAATGTTTACAAACATTATGGCATTCGGGGAAGGTTCTGTCTGTTAAAACATTTTATTACTCAAACTCCAAGCCTAGAAATAAATGCTTGACTTGGTACCCATGTGAAACTGGCCCGCTAAGCTCTCAGCGTATCTGAGTGGGTGCTTACAACTCTCCCGTCACTTCTTTCATACGTCTTGGAGGGAAAGCATTGCCTTTCCATAAGTGGTTTAACACAAGCAAAGCCAAGTGTAGAGACCTCGGACACAAACTTTAAGGAGACTCAGAATAAAACTGAAAAGGCAGGCCGGGTGCACACACCCCGGGATCACAGGCTCCTGCAGACGGGGGATGCCCGCTGGTGTTTGGCCTGGTGCTCTCACCCTTCCTCCGGTTCTTTCGCGCTTACAGAGCATCCTGGGCTGAGTGGCAAGACCATGGATAATAACAAAAGACCAAGTCTTTTGGTCCTTTCCTTCTACAAATGCAGCCAGTGGATGAACATCTGTAGTGGCTGAGGGAGAGCTTACAGGAAGAGCCTTCTGCAAGGGCTGTCATCACGAAGGGAAGAAGAGAAACTTGGAGGCGCTGTGCTGGTTGCCAAGGGAAACTAACCCTCCTCCAGAGCCCGAGGTGATGGTGTGCCGCCTGTTTGAAACCACAGCTGCCTCAGTGCGGCAGCGTCTAGAGTCTTAGCAGCCCAGTCTTGCACCTGTCAGGCAAGAGGCTGCCCGAGCCGGGGGGCTGGAGTGGGGGCCTGCTAACAAGCTGATCTGGAAGCTTCCACAGGCTCCATCTTGAAACCTTCCCATAGGTAGTCTCTTCCCTCCTCTGTTGAGGTTCTTTGGGAACGGAGATGTCCCTGTTTTCCCTTTCACAATGGCTTGTTAATCACACCCTATGGTCTGTGTGACACTGGGGTTCCAGCCCCCTGGTCCTCTGGGGAGCTCATGGGCAAGTTCTAGTCACTGCCCCAGACCTGCCAGACCAGCATCTCAGTACAGTCCTGGGGACTTCCTGTGTCACAGGCTCCCAAATGACAGCAGGGGAGCCAGGGACAGGACCTCCTCTGCCAGCCCCCATCTCAGGATCTCAGGCATTCATGGGTAGAACAGAAAGGCTCTGGGGAGAGAAACTGCTGATCTGAGGCGGCCTCAGAACACCCCACACATTCCTTACTTACCCATCCTCACTAGAGAAAGCAATTCCAACCTAAATGTGATGCCAAGGATCCTGGAAAACAGGAACTTGGATTTGTTAGGACTGAAATGGGGTCATTGTTAGGTTGAGATTCATTAACAAGCCATGTTTTTTAAGCCCAGTAATGTGTTCTTCCCTTTACCTTCTAAGAGTCTCAAGTGGTCATCAGCTGTCGATCATAACTTTTGAATAGTTCGAGTGGTGCCTCCCCAGGTGTGAAGGCATTGGCCTTCCTTGCCGACATTCTATTTTAGAAATAATGATATTGTTACCAGGCTCTCATAAACAGCCCTTTCTCGGGATCCACACGCCCACCCTGTGCAGGAGATGGAGCAGTTGTCTCCAGCGTACAGAGGAGATTGGGCTCAAAGAAGCTAACTTGATTGCTCAAACTCGCTCGGCTAAAATTTGTGAGCTGGAACAAACTCTGTTCTCCAAATGGCAGCTCTTCCTACAACACTTGACTCTGAGAAGGCCCTAAGTTTTCATCGCTCTGATTCAAAGGCTTAGCTAGCAAATCCATGATGCTCTAGGAACTGGTAAGTACTATACGAGTACAGTTTACTTGGTTGGTACAAGCCAGCGTTGTCTCCAACGGTCTACAGTCAAAACTCAAGAGTACCAGTACTGTTAGGTGGGGAAGCAGTACCTTCAACCTCTCTGTGTCCAGGTGCCCATAGTTCCACACTCCTGGCTTTCCTTCTGCCCGTCCCCGCTCCTGGATTTCCCCCTGCCACCCAGGCCCAGCTCTAAACATTGATGTTGAAGTGCTCAGGCCTGGGGCTCCTCTTCTCATCTCATTCAGTACTATGGGGAGTCAAACATCACTAATGTACACATAACACCTAGAATTATGTCTGCAGTTGTGAACACTCCTCTAAGCTCCCTCTAGATTCAAGGTCAAGTGACATGGGACACCTTTTGTATGTCTTACAGACCTGATATAATGTCATCTCCAGCCCTCTCCCACATTTCTACCCTAGTCAACCCGGTCTCCATATCCAAGCAAGAAACTGAATCATCTAGATCAAACGAGAATGCTCCCTCCCCTTCGGAAAGTGTGATCCGTCAAGTTTCAGCTCACCCCATCTCCTCAGAGAGGTCTTGACGGCCAGGTCCGCAACTGTTGTCCACCTCAGTACCTGTTTCCCTCATTGCACTTGATTACAACCTGCCGTTTTGTTTTTGCTTTTTGGCATGTGGTAGGATCTTGGTGAATACTTGACCAAACAATTTACCTCTGAAGACTTGAAATGTTTTTGCAAAAATTTCTGTTCCTACTTTCTTCTCCCTCTGGTTCCCAGGAGCCATCTTGAAGAGATCAGTACTCTGCTTCTGCCATCCTCAGTAGGACTCACAGCCACACAAAGGGGTGGAAGCATATAGAAGGGCGTAGAGAAGCTCAAGAGATTACCAGCATTACATCCTTCCTACATAGTGGACTCATCTAAATGTAAGTATTTATTATTATGTAGTAAATATAATATTATGTGTAAAATATATTTCATTAACGTGGAAATATTAATTTCTCTCTGGATGTGGGAGATAAATGAGTTTTGAGTGGGTTATTGGGATCCTGTAAGCACCTCTGTGATCCTAGAGCCCCTTTTGGTCTGTATCTCTTTCCCAGGAGCCTGAGAAAAGCTCTCCTCACACTCCAATCTGAGTCGTCACGAGGACCTGACTTCTCTTGGGCTAAGATGACTCAAAGCAGTCCCAGGAAGCCCGGCGCAGCCACAGGGGCCCAGGCCACAAGTCCTCCCCGCCCCCGGTACGAAATCAGGGCAGCCCACCTAAAGTCACAGAGTAGCTTTACAAAGCTGCTGAGCCCCTGGACACTATCTTCCCTCCATGAAGAACTTCATGTGGTTTCCTGCTGCAAACCACAACCAAATTGGACATTGGGCCCCTTTTCATATTTTTCCCACAGGCCTTTGCTTTCTCCAGGCAGTTTTGGTTCCTGGTCCTTGATCCCGGGCATCTCCATCAGCACCTCTCTTTGGGTCCTGTCTAGTTTAGGGCTCCTGGTTCCAGAAGCCATCTACCTGCTTGTTGCCACCTGCTTTTATCTCCTCCAGACTGAAAGTCACACAGGGGCGCCTGGGTGACTCAGTAGGTTCAGCATCTGCCTTCAGCTCCGGCCATGATCTCAGCAGTCTGGGATCGAGCTCCGCATTGGGCTCCCTGCTTCTCCCTCCGCCCTCTGCCCCTCGCCCTGTTTGTACTCTCACCCTCTCTCTCAAATAAGTAAATAAAATATTTTTTTTAATAGCTTAAAAAAAAAAGAATGAAAAATCACACCAAGTCTGGCTTAGCTCTCAGGGGCGGGGAGAGTCCACACCCCAGCTCACCTGCCCTGCTCTCCCATTAAACAGCAAACAGGTTTGCAAACACTTTACGGTGTGACTGAAAACAAGACTGTGCTGCTTTGACTAGAATCCAAAGGAAAGGAGCTTCTCCAAGTAGTAGCCTCCTCCTTTTTTCCAAAATTCTAAAGTCAAGCAATTCCTTGCTTGTCTGCAATTCCCGGGTCGAGGCAACTCTGGCGAAGATCCTGAAGAGGCCTGGCTCCTGAGGAGGGTGGAAGCACACACGGCAGGGGCCTCTGCACAGGGACTCAGGACCCCCACCCCCAGCCCTAATAAAGGGCCTCGCAGAGAGCAGCGTCTGTGGGTGGTGACCCATGCCTGGGGATTCCGTGGAAAGGAGGATGCGGGAGCTGCTAAGGAAGTATGGATGCTCCCGAGAGGGGACCCACTAATAAGCTGTGCAAACTCTCCTCTAACACAGCTCCCCAGGGTGCTATTCCGCGAGGCTAGGGAAAAAAAAAACAACTTGTATTTTAAAATTATTTTTTAAGAATATAACTTTCAGACAAAGCCAGCACATTTAATCACAGCACAATGCCTACACATTTTCCAATCCTTTTCTGCTTCCATCTTACTAGATTTAAAAAAAAAAAGAGAGAGAGAGAGAGAGAGAGATAAAAAAATACAGGCGCCTTTGTGCAGAACTGTGTGCTCATCTGTAACCAATTTGCTGAGTAGACTGCTCCATTCTGCTGTGAAGCCAAGTGCTCCTCCGGGAGGCAGCCTTGAATCCTCCCTGTTCATCAGCACACACCTGGAGGTTTAAGATGGGAGAAAGTCAAGCTTTGGTTTCACCCTCCCAAGCCACAGGGCAGGGCTCTTTGGGACTTCTTTCTCCGTTCCCGAGTGTCTCCACGTGCCCTGCAAGAGGCCCTACGGCTCCTCATCAGCCTTCTCACTGTTGTCACTGTGCTCGGCCTGTCGCCTCTGTTGCACCAGCTGCTTGTCCAGTTCCCGGAGCTGCTTCAGAAAGCCCCGGTTGGGTAGGACACAGCGGTTCTTGGCCACTTGTTGAATGGCATCCACCAGGGTCATGTTCTTGTGAATCATCAGGTAGGCCAGGACCAAGGTCGCCGACCGGCTGCGGCCCATGACACAGTGAACCAGGATCTTACCTGAAATGCAGTAGGGAGAAGAGGCACCAAACTATACTAATCATCATTGCATTCTTCACCACCATGCACTCTTGGGGGTGGGGACGAATGGCAATTTCCCTTAAGATTATCCTTGATGAAGCAGTAAACATCATTTTTATCAAATTTCAGACTTTGGTTGCACATCTACTTAATACTCTGTGTGATGAAATAGTACATACATACAAAGCACTTTGGCCAAGTACCAACGTAAGATGGTTATCTCAAGAGAAAAACACATGGGAGATTGAGTTGCAAGCTGAATTAGCCACTGTTTCATGGAAACACTGTTTTTAGCTAAAAGAACAAATGACAGAAAAACCATAATAATTCACACGTGGATACTTGGCAGACTTTGTCTCAAAAATGAACAAAGTAAGCCTGTCATTTCAAAGAAAATAACCAATGGCATTCGTTGCCAGTAATAAAATGCAAGCTTTTGAGCAAAAATTAGAATTTTTGAAAACTCATATCTATTACTTTGAGGTTGACAGTTTCCCCATACTTCTAGATTTTTCAGTTAAGATTGGTGGTGATATTAACAAATGTGTCCTTTTGATAATGTATAGTGAAAAGTGTCAACATTTGGAAGATCTACATAACTTAGGAACAAATATTTTCCAAATGACCAATGTGGGATATTACAAAATCATGCATGGATTAAAAAAATCATTCAAAGTGCCAGGCACCCCAACAGAGTATGTCTGAAGTTTATTGATATGGTTTCAGATTCCAGATCGCAGCTCGCCTTTAAAAAACTATTACTTGTAAAGTTTTGGTGTAGTATTAAAGAAGAATATTCACAATTATCTGAAATGGCTATTAAAATATCCTTCCCTAAAAAACAAAAATAAAAATATCCCTCCCTTCTCCAACTACATATCTGAATGAGGCTGGATTTTCTTCATATACGTCAACCAAAACAACATATTGCAACAGATCAAATGCAGAAGCTGATATGAGAATCCAACTGAATTCTAATAAGCCTCACATTGAAGAGATTTGAGACAAAAAAAAAAGGCAAAATAATGCCCCTCTTCTCCCTAGCTTTATTTTAGAAAATAGAATTTTTCATCAAAGCATGCTATTATTTTAACATGTGATGGGCTTTTAAGTTTTAAATATCCTTAAGTTTTTCAGCTTTTATTTCTTGTAGGATAAATATGGATAGATATAACCTACACAAACCAAAGCTCTTTGAAGACTTCAGTACTTTTTAAGAGTGTCAAAGGGTTCTGAGACTAACGAATTTGAGAACCAGAGATCTTGAAAAATCTCTACAAACAAAAAACTCCCTTTGGACTCTACCATAGATAGCGTCACCTGGGCCCAGCTGAGAAGCACGATGCGAAGCAGCTTGTGCATCCTTCATGTCTGCATTTGGTGATGCCCTGGAGCCCTGCAGTACACCAATGTGCTTTATCTCATTTTATCCTTAACAGAACCTTCAAGCTTCATTATCATCATCCCTCCTTTATGGATGGGAAACGGGCTCCGAGTGGTGAAATGTCATACCAGAGGTCACCCATAAAGCAAGTGCCATCACCAGAAATACTTTAAAGCAACTTGTTGAGGCCCTCTGTGTACTGGCCACTGGCCTCTGTGCTCTTCAGGTAGAGAAAGTGGTAAGATTAAGCTCTCGGCGTGTCCCCACCACTGCCATCCCAGTGGCTGTCCTCTCCTGTCGTCGTGGGATGGCTCAGCTGGGGACGAGATGGCTGGGGCCGCTTGCACTGTGTGGCTCGTGACCCCAGGGACGCCTCTATTCCTGCGTCTCGGGCCTGAGGCTCAGAAGGATGACCACAAGGACTCACAGACATCACAGGGCTCGGGGAACACCGGCAGGGTACGAGAACAGCTTGCTTAAAGAACGTTTCTGAGTGGATATGGCTCCCCGTGTCCCTCCACCTCCAGCCCCTCACCTGGGCCAGGGGATCGCGCCCAGGGCGGTGGTGATGGTCAGCAGCCCAGGCAGCGAGAGAAATTCAGGAGGCCCGACCTCCGGGCACAGGGATCCTCTCTTGCCTGCCCCTGCAGGGGAGGCCTGCACCCCTCGCGCAGCAGCAAGGATCCACTCCGGCCTCCCCACACGCACGGCTGGCTCAGAGCGGTGCTTCCTAAGGAGCTCCTCACGTTACCCCCATTTGTTTCCCGGAGCCTGACAGCGGACCAGGCGGCCCTCCGTCCACCGGCCCCTGGCTGGGCCGCCTTCTCCCGCGCGCCTCGGCCTGAAGGGAGGCGAGAAGCGGCCGCCGCCTGGGGGGACACGCTCTGGCCGGAACGTGCCTCCCGCCTTCCCATCCCCGCAGACTGTTCCGGAGGCCGCCGGCCCCTCGCCAGCTCTGCTGATAACTAAAGCGTTTCTTCCTCTCCTGGCCAAAAGGGTAATTCTTTCTGTCATGACTAAACGCTCGAAACAGACGAAAGCTGTAGTTCATTAAGTCTTCGGGGAGCCTGAAGTCTGTTAAGCGGGAGGAGGGGAGATGAAGGCCAGAGGGAGCCGGAGGGGCTCGGCCGCCAGCCCTTGAGCTTGGTGGGTGCCCCCCGGACGGGCCCTGGCTCGGCCCACCCCAGGGACTGGGGAGGCTCCCTGTGTGACCCCAGCCGGGCCGGGGCCTGAGCGCTGGCAGCCGCGTCCCCCGGCATTGGCACTTCTAGGCCGATGCCTTGGGCCCAAGCCAGACGCCCAACTGCTGAGCCACCCGGGGGCCCCTCAGTTCTTTCCTAATCTGTTCATTTTCTTAAAAGGAATGCTGTTTGCAGCCACTAAATTGACTTGATGGCACACTGATAAGTCTCAGTCTATGTTTCAAAAACGGTGATTTCAGTGAAACCGTTGCCCTTAGCCTTTACCAAAAGGCGAACTCCCACAATCTCATAAAGAAGACCGGTGTCCAGAACCTCTGCTGCTCCCCAGTTGCATATTGGGCTGCGTGCCCCCAGCAAGCACAACATGCAGTTCGCAGCTGACAAGTCCAGAGCCTCACCTCACCCCCATAGCTTCCACACGCATTTTCCATATTTCACCGCAGGCTGATCGGCACGACGCGCTGATGAGGTCGATGGAATCATCATCCTTGCAGAGAGGAGGTGTGAAGAGGTGGGCTGTCCAAGTTGCCCAGCTGGCAAGTGACCGAACCGTGACGCCAGCCCGGGCCACCCGATGCCAGACTCAGAGCTCGGACATGCCGCGTGGCTCCCAGGTGTGTGGACAGCAGACAGAAGTTCCACCAGGTAACACGAACTTCTACTACATGCAGCACATGCCGATATTTTCAAGTCTTCTCTGTTTTCCTTTTTCTACGGTTTTATTTATTTCTTCATGAGACCCAGAGAGGGAGAGGCAGAGACACAGGCAGGAGAGCCCAATGAGGGACTCGATCCTGGGACCCAGGGTCACGACCTGAGCCGAAGCCAGACACCCAACTGCCGAGCCACCCAGGTGCCCCTCAATTCTTTTCTAATCTGTTCATTTTCTTAAAAGGAATGCCGCCACTAAATTGATTTGATGGCACACTGATAAGTCTCAGTCTATGTTTCAAAAATGATGATTTCAGTGTAACAGTTCCCCTTAGCCTTTACCAAAAGGTGAACTCCCACAATCTTATAAAGAAGACCCGTATCCAGAATCTCTGCTGCTCCCCAATTGCATATTTTCGCTGGTGACCAAAAGATAGGCCCCTGTCACTCAAATCAGATATACAGGCCAAGCCTGTTAACCCATCAACCCTACCACCACCACCCACCCTCAACTCAACCCCGCCCCTGCCAGGTGCGTACTCTCACAAGCGACCTCCTTCCTTGGTTTTGGGGGTCACCCTTTGCCTGTCTCTCCCTCACCTAACCTTCCTCAGCAGCGTGCAAAGGCAGAGTTCCTACTTCTCCCAAAACAGCTCTGGGTATGTTGGAAGTCGTCAGAAAAAGGGGTGCATGTTGTATTTTGAACTGCTAGGGGCAGGACTGTGTGTGCTGCAGTGAGGTGGGGGACCCCTTAAAATACCCTGAGAATCTGGTCTGGTGAAAGCTTAGAAGTACCAGAGAACCAAGCTCCTGCTCAAAAGCAGACTTCATTTATTTATTCATACCTGCTTTATCCATAATAGATTTTAAGGTGGCTTCAAAAGCAGGCTATGGACCGTTTAAGAAAAAGAAAGAAAGAACAAAAGGAGAGCGGTGATACTAAAAATCCGATCTTTAGAGCCTCACAGTATCTGCCCTGGGATTTCTTAAATTAAAACCACACTGCTTTCACCTCTGAGGATGCCATGCCAGGAGCACTTAAGGCCATCCAAATGGGGTTTCTGTGGCAGTATTTTGTCAGTACTTCTTTCTCTGCTGAAGAATGACACGTTCAGTTGCTTCAGATCTTATAACCAGCTGGAGTGCCTGACCTTTCCTGATTTTTGGTGACCTCTTATAGAGTAAAGTCACCGGATGCTCAAAAAAAAGGGCAAAGGACTCTTCTGGGAGGCCTAAGTGACAGAAGGAATTCCTGCTGGCCTCTGATTAGCTCTGTGACCTGGACACATCACTTGCCTTCTCTGGGCCTCTGTTTCCCCAGCTCTCAGGCTGGGACACTGGACTAGATTATTTCTGAGACTTTTCAAGAGTGACTAGAGTTGCCTGGGGAGTCCTTTCGGAAGAGATGGGTCAGGGTAGGATAGGGGTAGGAGTGGGTCCCTCGGGGCTCACTACAGGCCACAGGAACAGCTCTAACAGCACTACAAGGAAGGCTTTCCAGCAAGAGTAAACAAGACTGGATGTGAGGGGCAGTAGTGGGAAAGAGCGTACACTTGGCTGGAACTAGCCAAGGAAAGAACAGGAAAGATGAGAGAGGGGAGAGAGAGATGCCTTGCCTTAGGGCCAGACTGTCCATCAACACCTCTTACATCAAGAGTATAATAAGAAACATATGAGGGAGCCTGGCTCTAATATGCTGTAGTAGCGTCCCCTGGATTTCCAGTGAGTGACTAGACATCATGTGTCCACTGCGTGTGTGCATGTGGCATGAAGGCTGAGAACATGCCATCCCCACTGGATGGAGTCTGTGACCATGCCATCGCTGGACCAATGAGTATTTTATTTTGTTACTCTGACTACTCAGCATAGGTGACAAACTGACAGCCATTGGGCTTCTTCTGTTTGGCCTTTGCAGCATTTTAAGACATGTTCAGTGTGTTGCCAGCACTTAAAAATTAGGCAATTTCACATTAAAATCCAGGATTGAAGACTTTTCCTGAAAAATTAGCTCTACATTTGCACTGATTCTCACAAGACACATGTTGGCTGAGACTGAGTAGCAGCTGCCCCCATGGAGAGTATAGGGGGCTCTTGACTTGGCTATAGGCACTCCCCACCCACACCCCCATGCCTTCCCCACAGCCGGCTTCATTTGTTTACATTCCCCGCCAGGTTCTGTAGGGTTTGCATTTGATTTGAGCCCCAGACTTGTGGCTATTCAAGTGCAAAGGGCATTGAGAAGGGACCCCAGCCTCCTCCCTGGCAATGGGGTCCTGTCCTGCTCCCCTTCCCCCAGCCAACTGTCTGGTCCCACACCCCTGCCCATCGATTCTATCCCCTGCACGTTCTCTGGCCTGGGCATATACTTTTCTCCCTTGACCCTTTCTTCTTTTCTAGGTGCTTTTTACACATGGTCTAATAGTCAGGACATCTCCATATTCTGTGATCTGGCCAGTCCTAAACATGACTAGAGAGCCCCCATTCTTTCCCATTTCAGCAGAGGGGGGAAAGACGCTAAAATGGTGTGCCAGGAACTGGAAACAAGCTGTCATGGGAGTCTATTGTGCGAGTTCAAAGTTGGAATGTCTTTTTTCCTTTTTTTTTTTTTTCCTCTTTTCGGATTGGAAACTTTATTATGATGATGCACACATGCTAGTGTGGTTATGTGTTTCATGGTGCATGACCTCTCTTTATCAAACACATCTGAGAACCCGCTGTGCACCAGGTTCTGTGCTAAGTGCTCCATGTGGGTTGCCGCTGATCCTCATTATAACCTTTCAAGGTAAATATTTTCATCACTAGATGGAGAAAGCAAGGCTTAGAGAAATCACATTGTTAGTAAGTTATATGGCGTCTTCTCCAAAGCCTGCCAGACCCCTTCCATTAAGAGAAAGTCTGAAGATACAGTAATGGCGAAAGAGTACATTAAACAGAAACTGAAGGACTGGGTTGTTGCAGCTTTGTGTTTTTTTCTTGTCAAATACATTTTCAGTTAACTTCAAATAATCTGAGGAGAATTTTTCCTCATGTTGATGAGTCTGAGTCTCATTGCTTTTTGATACTGCTAAGAAACCCATAATGTGCATAAATGCAAGAGATGGTCCATAAATAACCTCATAAAAGCATGACTTTGAAATGAGGCATCCCCTAATATAAGCACTTTGGTTCTGTGAGGTTTTTTTTTTCTTTTCATTGTGACATTGCTTTCTGAACCAAAATAATGACAAATTGTTGGTGTCTAGCTGTGGGGCCAGCTAGCTCGGGGACTCAGGCCATGGAGGGATGGCCATCAAGGTCTGGGACTCGACCTATGCCCAGCTACAGCCCGCAAGTTCCTGAGGCAGGCCAGTCAGCCAGTCACTGAGCCTCCTAATCCCAGCCTCTTGTGGCAAGAAAGGCTTTCAGTAACTGGACACACTGAATTGTGCAATGGCCCCAGAAAGGGGTATGACACATGTGCCTAAAGTCAGAGCACAGATTAGGGAGTTGAAGTTCCTCTGGCCTCTATGAAATGCCCCTGAAACACCCCCTTGCAGCAATAACTGCACACTGTTTTATGCCAATGCAGACCTAAGCCATGCCCTTCTCTCCAAAAGAGCCTTGTAGCCTTTACCCAGATTAGACCAGCTAACACTGCATTTTGAGTGCAAGGACTAGCCCTGTGACTTTAAAAATGGATAATTAGCCTTGGGAAATTTGGACATCACAGATGCAAAACTCAGATTCTCAAATATAGTTCACCGTTCAGAAGGCTAGGTTGTCAGCTTTCTCTAGGAGGCCTCACTAGACTGTGTGTATGTGGGGGGCGGGGGTGGGTGCAGAGGCAGGGGTCGGGGAGGCCACGGGTTCGGTTGGCTGGCGGGAGATTCCGAAGTCTCTCCATGGATTCCCAGTCAAGTCAGCTCCCTGAAGGTTTTCTGGCACTGAAGCCCCTAGCGGTTAGTCAGGTCTGGGCCCAGGCACAATTAGCGTCTGGGCTGCAGTCCCAGCTTTGAGGCCATCCAGACGGCCCTGCTGTTCCGAGGATCGCTGATGAGCCTTAAGGAATTGGGATTCAGGCCAAAGGCCTTTCCTCTGAACCCTCCCGATCCCCACTCCCCACAGCGACAGCCGGGGGGGCCCGGACCCCAGCAGCAGCGCGCTCTGTGTGGCCCCCAGCCTCCTGGGGCTCACGGTCCCAGCTCAGTCGCACACACACCCAGCAGAACCTGCGGTGAAGGTGCACAGATCCCGGCTCCGGCCAAGGTGAGGGGCGGGGCCAATACGAGGGGCGGGGCCAAGACGAGGGGGCGGGGCCAAGACGAGGGGGCGGGGCCAAGACGAGGGGCGGGGCCTCGTGCGGCGGGGGCGGGGCCTCAGGCGGCTGCTTGGGGCTGAACTCCCAGGGGTGGCGGGTCTCTTACTGTGGTCGCGGCTGAGCGCGGCGTCGATGAAGGCGGCCGCCGGGTAGAAGAAGACGCTGAGGTCGAAGGTGGGCACGTCGTCGGCCTCCACGCCGTGGTATTCGATGGCCATGTCCCGGTAGTAGTCGGGCCCAGTGTCCACGTTCCAGCGGCCGTGGGCGGCGTTGAGCACGTGCGTGAAGCCCGCCTTCTGCAGCCCGTAGCGGTCCAGTGCGGTCGCCCTGGGTGGGGGGAGGAGGTGGGGGGGCTGGTTGGCCGGGCGCTGCCTTGGCCTGGATCTGGGGGGGACGCGGCGGCTGCCCTGCCCCGGGTAAATTAATTTCTTTCTTTCTTCTTTCTTTCTTTCTTTCTTTCTTTCTTTCTTTCTTTCTTTTCTTTCTTTCTTTCTTTCTTTCTTTCTTTCTTTCTTCTTTCTTTCTTTCTTTCTTTCTTTCTTTCTTCATTCATGAGAGACAGAAACATAGGACAGAGGGAGCCTGATACGGGACTTGATCCCGGGTCTCAAGATCACGCCCTGAGCCAAAGGCAGATGCTCAACCACTGAGCCACCCAGGCGTCCCTCTGCCCCGGGTTTCCGCCATCAGTTCCCAGGTAAGGCCTGGTCACCGAAATGAAGGCCTTCCCTAGTCCGGGGCCCTGCTCTTCCCGAGTTCCTGGTGCCGCCACTTTGAGAAGCAAGAGGATGGAGCGTGCGGGAGGTGAGCTACTCATCGGCCCATTCATCCTCCCATAGTTCACCAAAGATAGAACCCTTGGTGCTAGACACTATCACTAGCCAAATCCCCTAAAAAGTCACAGAGTTACCCGTTCATCTCACCTTTATTTTTTTAAGATTTTATTTATTTATTCATGAGAGGCACAGAGAAGCAGAGACACAGGCAGAGGGAGAAGCAGGCTCCATGCAGGGAGCCCGACCTGGGACTCTATCCCGAGTCTCCAGGATCACGCCCTGGGCTGAAGGCGGCCCTAAACCGCTGAGCCACCTGGGCTGCCCTCATCTCAGCTTTAAAGTAGGCCTCTCCTCTGAACCTTCCAGATATTTATAGGGGTTGGGGCTCAAATGAAGCTTTAAGATGCCATTTCAGGGATCCCCGGGTGGCTCAGCGGTTTAGCACCTGCCTTTGGCCCAGAGCGGGATCCTGGAGTCCCGGGATCGAGTCCCGGGATCGAGTCCCACATCACGCTCCCGGCATGGAGCCTGCTTCTCCCTCTGCCTGTGTCTCTGCCTCTCTCTGTCTATCATAAATAAATAAATAAATAAATAAATAAATAAATAAATAAATAAATAAATAATCTTTAAGATGCCGTTTCAGTGCAAGGATTTGATGGAAATGGGCAAAATTCTTGTCGTTGATGTTCACAGGGGTGGTGATGTAGACCCCCTTGCTTTGATGAGTGAATCCTTGCCTACTTGGGCAAAGCATTTTTCTGAGGAGAGGTATTTGAGCTGTCTGTTGTTTGAGTTGATGTCAGCGAGTGCCTGGAGCCAACAGTGAAGTTATTTTCTGATTAATAGCCTTCTCTTTCGAGGCAAGAATTTCCAGGAACAAAGAATAAAGTCATGTTGAAGAAGGTGGCTTTGGAATATAGGGCAGAGGTAGGTTGTCAGAGGAAGCAGGAGTTATTTCTGTCCAGAGGGGCCAGGGGAGACTGGGGGAGGGCCCTTTGAGTTTGCCTTACTACAAATGTCAGCTCTTGGTGATGGAGGGGAAGAGGAAGGCAAGGGCAAGGAAATAGCACAACCCAAAGGATGGAGGCTGGAGATAATGAGGGCCTTTCAGGAAACGTTTATTACTTCCCATAATCAATCATTTATCACAAATAATGACTTAGAATCTAGTGTGTGCCAGGCACTGTCCTGGGTGCTAATGATGCCACAGTGAACAGGTCAGTCAAGGTCCCTTGGGAAGCATGGATTCTCACGGGGAGAGCAAATAAACACCAAACAAATAAGATAATTTCAGATGGCAGTAAAAGCTGTGCTGAACGACTGTGGCCCTGCTTTAGGTAAGGTGGTCAGGGAAGGCCTTGCTGGGCGGTAGTATTTATGCTAAGACTGAGGGATGAGGAGCTAGCCAGAGGAAGAGTTGAAGGAAAAATGTTTCATCCAGGTCGAGGATACAGCAAGTGCTGAGAATGCAAACAAGTGTGGCTGTAGTGGCAAGGCGGGTAGTGGTACAAGGGCACATTGGAAAGGTAGGCAGGGGCCAGGTCATGGGAGGCCCTGTGGGCCTACAGGGGAGAGCTTGCATCTTACTGTAAGTGTGGTAGAAAGCCCAATGCTACAGAGGATTTTAAGGAAGGGATGAGCATTGTTTATTTTGTAAAATATCAGTCTGTAGATGTGTGGAGAGGGAGTGGAGCGGGGAAAAAATAGAAGCAGGGAGCTCTTTTGGAGGCTATTGCAGTTGTACAGCCAAGAGAGGAAGCTGCTTGGAGCAGGTGGGGTCACAGCAGGGCTTGCTGATGGATTGCTCAGGGGGCAGGGAGGAGGAAGCTGGTTTGGGCCAGAGCATAGGGTGTGAGAGGAGAGGAAAGATCTGGAGAGGAAGTGTGGGGTTGGATCAGGAAAGTGCTTGGATCTGTATTTGGAGGGCTCAAGGACAGTTGTTTTGTTTCGTTTTTAAGATTTTATTTATTTATTCATGAGAGACACAGAGAGAGAGGCAGAGACACAGACAGAGGGAGAAGCAGGCTCCGTGCAGAGAGCCCAACGTGGGACTCGATCCCGGGACTCCAGGATCATGCCCTGAGCCAAAGGCAGACGTTCAACCACTGAGCCACCCAGGCGTCCCTCAAGGACAGTTTTTGATAGTGTTTGAGGAGGGGTGATCCTAACTAGGTTTTAGGACACCATCACCCCTCAACAGCACAAAGACCAGTTCTACAGCTCAGGACAAAGATGACAAGGGTTCTGGAACCAGAATGATAAGAGGCCAGAAGTGGCATTGTGCTCCAGCTAAGGGCTCATCTCAAGGTCACTGGTAAAAGGATGTAGACAGAGGGACCATACTGAATGCCAACATTGATCAGTATCTTGGGCCAAAAGGAGCCTTGCAGTAGGAAACATATGCATGGCCCCTTGGCCAAGGGCCACATATCTGTCGCTGGTTTCCTGGTCATGAGAGGAACCACGATGGAGTCCAGTGTTTGGGAAAGAGAGACCCAAACACAGGCATTGAGCTTTTAGAAACATTTGCAAACAGCCCATTGGAACTGAGCCATAGGATGGTGGAGAGTTCCACCAAGCCCCCCAGCTGGTCTTTGGTGCTGCCATCCTGACCATGGACTACATTCTGCTTTCAATATTTCTTCAGAAAGACCTGTTTTTCATTTCTCTTCTTGTCCCAAAGTATGTATACAACAAACATTTTGCTTTTGGGACATAGATCTGCGCTCAATTAAAACCTCTGCTAATGCAGTCCATCTTGCTGAGTAGCAACCAACCTCACTTTGAGGTTGAGCTCAGTGGAAAAATTAAAATTAACTGCCCTTGACAGGAAGTTCTTACCCACCATAAAGACTGTTCTCTCTGAGTTCGGCCACTGGGTTTCAACATAATCAAATGGCAGTTTGAATACATAGCAGTTTGCACTTTGCTGCTTTGGAGGTCACCAAAGATCAGGGATCTATGTGACAAGACTTGTTGCATGACACCTCCACATTCAGGCCACAGAGCTGGTTTTAACTATGTCTGAAGTAGAGAAAAGGGCTTCTGGGGAGGATCAGACCTGGTGGGTGTCTGAGGCCCACTGCAGGTTTTCGGGGTCTCTGTGGCTGCGTGAGCCAGGAAGGGGACGTGGTGTCCTTACACACCACTCTGGGGATTCCCCTAGCTTGATACTCAGACTCCAGCTGAGAGCTCAGAAGAGTGTCCATGGCAGCATGGGAATCTGCAAATAGAGCAAACTCTTCAAACTCTTGGTATACAGCTGCTGTGATGGAGGCAGTTCCCGACTGGCCCAAATGCCTGACTCAGCAGGTACTGGGAGTAGGGTAGGTTAGAGGGTGCTCCCTGACACTGTATGGTTGTTCTCTTAAATGTCAGGGCCACCTGCTTAGGTGACATGGGAAAGAGACTAAGAAATGTGCTTCTGCTGAGGAAAAAAGCTCAGGAGAAAAACAGACTTAGGAATTTACCTCCAGAACCTAGATGATGCAGGAGCTTTAGTTTCTGGTTATTTAATTAAAAAAAAAAAATCCTGATGTAAGCAAGTTGTTTATTTAAAGAATAATATGTCATCAAAATATGTCAACTAATTATAAAAATAACACATGCTCAGTGCAGAATGTGAAAAACATATTCCCTCACGCACACGCACAAATCACCTGCATTTCTACCCCCTAGAGATAAAGTCTTTTTGCTTTTGGATATGAGATTCTCCAGTTGCTTTTCTATGCGTTGATTTATATATCTTATAGAGAGATTTGTTTTTGGGTACAATAGATGTTTGGGGCATGTAAGGGTTTTGAAGGCTTTGACATGGTGATATATTGTAAACACCTTCTTCTGTCAACCTACAGCCTTCAGCAGTGGCGTGCCTTTCCATTCTGTAGGGAAATCCTAATTTCACCTCGCCAAGCTTCTATTTTTGGACATTTGTCTTCTCTCTCTCCCTCTTGCTTTAACTCTAGCTCTATCTTTATCTCTCTCCAAAAGGGGGAGTGGTGGGTATTATAAGAAACACTATAAATGAACAACTTTGGGCAGCCCAGGTGGCTCAGCAGTTTACCGCCGCCTTCGGCCCAGGGCCTGATCCTGGAGACCCGGGATCGAGTCCCACGTAGGGCTCCCTGCATGGAGTCTGCTTCTCCCTCTGCCTGTGTCTCTGCCTCTCTCTCTGTGTCTCTCATGAATAAATAAAATCTTAAAAAAAAAGAGAGAGAAAGATGTACAACGAAATGTTATCAGCGGCTATCCGTGGGTAAGGGGATTCTAGAGAAGTTTTCATTTGTAAATTTTGGTAACGATTATGTCATATATTCATTTCATAAGCCAGTGAATGCCACGATTCTTACGGATGTTTCCTTAGTCCTCGGGAGACGCTGGCTACTCAAAGATGCAAGGTGGCCCCAGCATCTTTAACTCTTTAGAAACCTCTTTATCCGGTGGCACAGCGGTTTGGCGCCTGCCTTTGGCCCAGGGCGCGATCGAATCCCACGTCAGGCTCCCGGTGCATGGAGCCTGCTTCTCCCTCTGCCTGTGTCTCTGCCTCTCTCT